ACAGGTACGTTTAGTTTGGTTTTTCCATGTGTGAACTGGAATTGAAGTCAGGGCGGACACAGCTGTTCATTTCATGGATGCAACATTGCAGCTAAACATGTGCTGCACTAAACATCTGTTAAATTCGAAATTTTAAGCTTTAAAACTTTAATGTTTTTTCTCAAAACTTCTTGAAATACTGAAGACAGAGCATTGCTGATATATCCTCTTTTTATTGAGTACTTTATAATACACACACTACCCGTTACCATATAAGTACGACCTGATTTAATACCAGAAAGAGTAAGGTTAGTCTGGTTTGTCTGCAGAGTAGAAGTTCTCTAGCGAAGGACTGTTAAGTAGAAAAGCTTCTAACAAAATTAACCACTTAGGCCCAACAGTCAAGAATGCCCTTTTGCTCATATATCACATCACATGACAGAGATGTCTTCTGCGTTTAGATCCCATTTCCTCCCACCCTGTATCAGAGGCCTACATTTTGCATACGCATTGACACCCGCGTGTCTCAGTTTGTACCTATTCCACCCCTGACATTTTTAAACTTAGTTGTCATAGCACATAAAGGGAAACTTCTTAAGACACGCGTGTTCTAACCAGAGAAGCTTGGCTGTTCTTATCTGTGTCGGCCAAAAAAAAAAAAAAAAAGCTGCTTCAGCATCCAGTTTGTCAATCTTCAGAAGATGAGTATCACACATGCTGAGAACTAACCAGAAGAACTACAGTGCACATCATCAGGAAAGTACAGAAAAAGCACTCAGGGAATTTATTTATTCAGCTTAAAAGGTGTTTCTTCCCAAGGAACTGCACTTTCCTTTCAAAGGCGCTGGATCGAATAGGAGAATTGAGTTCATAAAATGGATTCATTGCAAACTGGGGAAAGAAGAAAAACTCATCAATAAGCACAACGTCCAGCACTGGAAAAGGTTATTTCAAATGCCAATTACATCATTAGCTTTGACCCTATTTAGTGCCACTGCAGAGCACGGAGCGCCCAAACAGTCACTTGCTTTCCCGGCCCTTGCGTTCTCCCCATACCTGGGCACAGCCATCCCTTAGCACCAGCTCCTCAGAGCAAATCCATCGTGACACTGCTGGAAATCTCTGTTTTGGAAATCGGCGCCATTGGAGCCCCCGCAGGAGCCGGCATGGCCACCCCCTACCAGGGCGAGCGGGCGCCCCATCTCATGGGAGCATCGCCAGGCTGTGAGAGCACGGGCCACTCGTTCCGAGCGCCGAGCACTTCAGCCAGGCTTCTGTAGGCCGGTCCTTTGCTGTCATTATCCCCATTAATGACACACCACTGCCCCAAATCACTGGATTATAAAGAGAATAAATTCTGACAGACCACAGTTTATAATAATTGCTAAAAATCTATTCTGTAATGGAAAATGCAGCCTTTACATCACCCATTATCAACTGTGGCTAATGTGGACAGCGTGGGTGCTGCTCCACTGCCACGTAGGCCCCTATGAGAAAACACGCTAATACAGGCATGCCTGGGCATGTACACAGAACGCACTTAAACCTACTGCAGTGAGAACACAAGAAGCGGGTCCTTACCTTTATATACAAGTCATATACATCATTAAAGAAGTTCTTAATTCCGTCTTCTTGCCTTACATCATGAAGCATTATAAATCTCATATGTAAAGCAATTAAGGAAAATTCAACTTTTACAAAGAAGAGAGACATTTATAACATAACCCGAGATAAGAATTTACACCTAATTCTGTGTACACTTGCAATGTTTAGCTGTACACGAAACAGCAGTCACTATAGGGGGAAGCATAGAAAAGAAAGAACTGGAACAGTGACATTTAGAAAGCATTACCTTTATATTTTAAAAGTCCCCTATTTGAAAATAAAAATAATCCCCTCTCTATTCAAGGTTATTCTGTTTAAAGCTAGACAGTTCTGAGCGTGGGTGATGCTCTCAGCACCTCTGCCGTACACCCCAGAAGTTAAAATGACCTTCAGTGTTACTTCTATTTCTATGTACGACACGTTTAACTACAAACACTTCTAGAACTACCTGTACATAAGATCAAGCCTTGACACCACATTTGCAAGACTGACACCACGCATGTTTATCCCTGCTCCTCCCCTCTAGCACTACCAAAGGGATGGGGACAGAGAATCATCTAAGCTTGCTCAGACACTCTCCCATTATTCCCCTCTCATTCCTCTTTCCGTGAGCTCCACATGTCATTAGGCTATTTCAGCTCCTCCGAAAGGAAAAATCTGTCTTTCCAATCGGTCCCAATTTCAACAACCGCTGCGCCTCCCCACTTACTGCATCCTGAAGCTGGTGACACTCCAGCAATAATAATGGTGAACAGCCAGAGAAATCTGTTCCCAACTCATTTCACCTAACTTGTCCCTTTCTGGCAAAAGACTTTCCTATATAAGGAAAGAGAAGAGGGAAGGATATGTCCAGCTGTGACAAAAGCAGAAACAAACCATTCGTTAAACTTGTCCACAGTCTTCAGGTACATGTTGTTCGAAAGCCACATGTTCTCATCTACGAGGTCAAGAGCAGCATGGGCAATGAACTGGTTGAGATGGCGATGATCGTCCTAATGTATTTCAAGAAGAAAGAGGATTAGTAATTCAGTGAAAGGAGTGAAATATAAACAATAATTTGCTCAAGTTACTAAAAAAAACTAGTGCTCAAGTTATGTTACATATATAAATTTACATATACCCTTTTTTTCTGCCACATACAGGCCACCCTGTAATTAAATGAAACTAGTATATACTGTCACGATACTTGGTTTCAAGGGAGAAAAAAGGTCATAATAAAAAGGTCATCACAAAAACAGTCCCAAGAGCAGCAAAACAAATAAAGCCTCTATTTATAGCTCAGCAATGAATTCAAGCATGAATTCTTTTGTTTACCAATCTCCCACTGCAAAACAACAGAGGCCCTGATAAAAGTATTTCTCTCTGCTTTCCAGTCAGCTGTTTTTGTGACATTTACAGCAAGTTGGCATTTTTGGACCATAACGCCTCTGTCAAATTTGACAGAAATTGAACAACAGGTTACAACATGTAAAAGTTGGGGGACAGATGGGGAAAGCAGATATATGCAAGGGACAGGTATAGTGAGGACATGATCACCTTAAGATTCTGTTTTTTCAGGTTATTTGCCTAAAAACCATAGGATTGTTTTATTGTTTTGGGACTTTTCTTTTTCCTGAGAGCTTAGCACAGAAAAACATCCTGAAACTAGTATTAAATACATGCCTGCAGAGGTAAATTGCACCTCCTCCTCTTATAATAAACACGACCGGCCTTCATAAAAGTGATCACTAACACTACAAGAGCTGGGCAGGCAAAGAGCCATTTACTTTGCCTATGAACTAGAACACCGGAGGATATCTGCCAAGACGAAACACGGGACTAAACCACTGCGGTGGTGCAATTCCCCCCACCACCCCTGGGCCGCTCGGTGCAGCTCCCCCTCCCTGGGCCACGTCCCAACCCGGGGAATGTCAGGCGGGGATTGGGAAAGGCAGCGCACCAGAGTGTCACCC